CCCCACCGAAACCTCCCCCGCGCTGTTAGCTCGCAGAGCATCGCCCTTCATCCCACCCAGGATGGAGTAGAACTGCCCCATGAGGGTTATCAAGATTGTCAATCCCACGGGAGCAGACTGCCTAATCCCCGACCTCACCCCCTCCCCCGCCCCCGCGCAGCTACTGGTAGGTTGGAACCCCCGACCTTCTGGTTTGCAGCTGAGTATTTTAGCCTCGGACCCACCAGGGCGCCCTGTTGCCCTTCCACGGGCATTTTCCTCTCCCCTTGCCCTCCCCAAACCCCCGCCTCCTGAGACCCCTCTGCCTCGACTTTATCCCCCTCCCAACCTCTGGCCTCCTTCAAAAGCTCCATTATGCCCTCGCCTCCCTGCCTCCCCCCAGACCCTGCAAGATTCCTTCCTGAAGTCTATGGACATCTTCGGCCATCCCTCCCTTTTCTTGCTGGGGGGTGGGGGCGGGGGTGTGCCGGCCAAGATCCACTCCCAGCCGGCTCCTGCCCCTCCTCCTCCTGCTGCCCACTGAGCCCACTCCTTTCCCAGAAGCCACAGCTCATTAGTGCAACCCTTGCAACACCTGCGAGGCCTTCCCTCTCTTTTCCGTCGCTGGCAAGAAGGGCTGGCAGCCCAGGGCCTGGAGGATGTGGGGCAACAAGAAGAGTGGGGGGCAGGGGGAGGGCAACTGGAAGGGACCGCTAGAAACTGACAGGACCAGCCCTTTGGCCACCAGCCTCTGCCTCCCTGCCTCTCCCGGGGCCCTGGGCTCCCAGTCCTCACCTCCCAGCCCTCCCCTCTAGGTGGGCGATGCCCTTCCTGCGGTGGTGGTGTTTGAAGGGGAGCCTGGGACCAAGGTGAGCCTGGCCGAGCTGTACAAGGGCAAGAAGGGTGTCCTCTTCGGAGTTCCTGGAGCCTTCACCCCAGGCTGTTCCAAGGTGAGGCCCTGCGGAGGGTCAGGGTGAGGTTTTGATTGCTCAGCTCTCCTTGTCCTTGCAAAGCCCTCAAAGTATGTAGCGTACACTCCAGGTCAGTGAAGCTAAGCAGTCTAGAAAGCCTGTGTAGAGGCTGCCAGAAGCTAAGTACTTGGGCCCTAAATGAAAAAACCCAAGACCATGCTCCCTGCCTTTGAGTTGATGCCGACTCATCGGGACCCTGGAGGGCAGGATAAAACTGCCCCTGTGGTTCCCTATAACTACGGGAACAGGAAACGCCCGTCTCTCTCCTGAGGATGGGCTGGTGATTTCAAATGGCTGACCTAGGACCCTAGAAGGAGGAGAGTTATTATAGGTATTGACCCGCTGGGTGGCAGACACGACTCAGGTGCCGAAGAGTCCTGCCCGTGGGATAGCTCAGTCCTGCCCACCCGGTGTTGTTTGCCTCTGAGCTTCCTAGTGGCCAAGGCAAAAAAAGGAAATAGAAGCATTTTCATAATTCTCACGGAGCTGGAGCAGGGGCAGTCTCCCTCCCCACCCCCAGCTGACCCCATTTCTCCCTCCCCAGACTCACCTTCCGGGGTTTGTGGAGCAGGCTGGGGCTCTGAAGGCAAAGGGAGCCCAGGTGGTGGCTTGTCTGAGCGTCAACGATGTCTTTGTGACCAGCGAATGGGGGAAAGCCCACCAGGCAGAAGGCAAGGTGAGGTGTTGGTCCTGCCGGGGACAGGGGCCACATGGGTGGGCTCCCTGGTGATCCTTTCTCTTTCTCCCCCCAGGTTCGGCTCCTGGCGGACCCCAGTGGGGCCTTTGGGAAGGTGAGTGGACCCTGCTATGGGAGCAGGGACTTAGAGGGACAGGGCTAGGGGGCCTAGGAGTTTCTGACACTTTTCTCGCCCAGGAAACAGATCTGCTCTTAGATGACTCCCTGGTGCCGATCTTTGGGAACCGAAGGCTCAAGAGGTACAAGAGAGAGGGTCTTGGGTGGGGCTCCCCAGGATCCAGGCCCAGGCTGACTGGCTGGCCCCCCACCTCTTTCCGGTAGGTTCTCCATGGTGATCGAGGACGGCGTAGTGAAGGCCCTGAATGTGGAGCCAGACGGCACAGGTCTCACCTGTAGTCTGGCCCCCAATATCCTCTCGCAGCTCTGAGGCCCTGGGCCCAGACGCACTCTACACTCCCACTGCCCTTTCCTGTCTCACCTGCCCAGCCCTGGGCAGCAGGCCTGGCTGCCCCTGAGCCAGGCCACCCAATTGGAACCTTGGCCAAATTTCTGCAATAAAACAAATCTGGTTCACGGTGGGCTCCTGGTTTCTGAATTGCTGATTCGTGGGGGCCGGGCCTCATGACCCAGATGGAAGAAGGGCCTGTCCTGAGACCTCTGCGGACAGTGGGCAGGCGGGGCAGTCAGGGAAGGCTTCCTGCAGGCGGTGTTAGGAAGCAACCCTCCGGAAGCCGAGGACCAGCTGTGGGTGGGAAGTGCAAAGGAAGCTGCTGGGTGCAGAGAAGGGGCCCCAAGCCTGAAGTCCACAAACCCAGGGTTAGACACTGGGCTCTGGAGACCCCCCTCACCCAGGAGATGCCCCTGGCACCACAGCACCTTCTGAGCGGCAGAAAGGATGCCCGTGGTGGGGGCAGGGCTAGTTCAGTCCAGGAAGGCTCCCTGCAAGAGGAGGCTGTGAAGGCGAGCTGGGAGGAGAGGGGCCACCAAGAAGGTGGGTGGGAGGCCCTGGGCAAGCATTGCAGGAATTGATGCCAGGCTCCTGGTCCTGGCTAGGCGAACAAGGTCAAAGGGGCAGGCAGTTCAGCACGCTGACCCTTGTGCCAGTGCTTTGGGCTTGTGGGGTGTACTCCTCGCTGGTATGAACAGATCTGTCCTCTTACGCTGAGAAGTCTAGCAAACAGGCTGTGTTGTAGCTTGGAGCCTGGGCTTGAGCCTCACTTCCCTGAGGCTCCACAGGGGTCTCAGCTCACCCTCCAGAGCTGGCTGGGGCTGGCTGAGGCCCCTGAGGTGGAGAAGATCATGGAAAGGCCTTCTGGAATGGCCTGAGGTCGTGGGAACAGGTGGACTGCGGGTGAGGATGGATGGTGGAGGGTGGGACAGCCCGAGGCTGGGGAAGCCTCTGGGGCACAGTGGGTAGGGCAGGGATAAGGAGCCCTGAGGTCAGGGACTGGGAAGCAGCTGGCCTCTCATCCTGCAGGCTTCCAGCTGAGCAGAGGGGGGGCCAGTGAGAGGCAAGAGTGGCCACCGGGACCCAGAGACCTGTGGGGTGCTGGGAGGAGACCAAGGGCCATGAGGTGGGGGCCTGGAGGGGCTGGGTGCTTGGGATCCTGTCCGCGGGAACAGGGCATCCCAAGACCACCCGCCTGAGTACTGAGGGGTCCTGGGCCAGGGCAGGAAGGGCAGGGGCTGATGGCCCTCTTGCTTGGAGAGCCTTGTCTAGCAGTGGACCCTCTCAGCAGCCCTGAAGTTTGGAAAGCTTGTCCCCTTCCTCATGCAAAAGAGGAAACATCCCCCCAAGACCCTCACACACACACTCACACACACACACACACACACACACACACACACACACAACCTGGAGGGGTCCCCTCCATCCAGACCAGTCACCATGTTTGCTCCACTCCTGGGCTTTTCTCAGGCCGCCAAGGTGCGGTGTGGCCTCGAGAGGAAGTGTCCCCTCTGGGCCCACATCACCACTGGCCAGGGGAAGGGGCAGGAGGGGCCTTCCAAGTGGGGGGGGCAGCCCCAAGCCTAGCCCAGGAGGGGTGTGTGCGTGGAGACAGTGTGGTGTTGAGCTGGGTGGCTCTAGCTGCCGACCACGTGGCTCAGCCTGGGTCGCCGGAGCGGCCGAGAGCCAGTGGTGGAGGCGCCCAGCAAGCGTGCCAGGCCGAGCTCCGTGCCCGGGGCCAGGTCTGGGGTCCTGCTTCCCTGCTCTGTAGGTGCCAAAGGGCCAAGAGGAATGGCAGTAAGACATACACACCAAACCCCGAAGCTGAACGCCACCTCCCAACACATCCCAAGTAAAATTCCCCCTTTGGTCCCCACGTGACCTGCCCGAGACCATGACTGACCCGGAAGCCAGGGGTCTGGTTCCCACCATTCCTTCCGGGCCTTTTCTGGGTTGAATTCCTGGGTGGCACTGCTGAGAGCAATGACCTTTTTTTTTTTTTAAAAAGAAATTGCACGTTCTCACGAACACCCCCAGGCGCACACAGGCCCTAATACAATCTTTAAGGGTCCCAAGGAATCCCTAAGTCTCGCCAAGAATTCCAAGTGAGGCCTTGACCTGTCTGGGAGGCATCGC